ACCTTGAGAACGCTTTTCTAAGTGGAAGAACCCCGTCACAAAAAACCCACACAATATGCTATTTTATTCACAAGAATTGTCAAAAACAAGCAAATGTGTAGACAGAAAGCAGACCAGTGATTCCTCCCGGTAGGGGTGCAGCAGGGCGGGAGATAAGGCAGAGGTCCCTAAAGGGTGCTGGGCTTCTTTCTGAGGTGGCAGAAATGCTCTAAAGCTGGCTGAGGTGACGGCTGCCCTTGTCCGTGGACGTACTAAAAACCATCGAGTTGTATTAAACAGGTGAACTGTGTGGTGTGTGGGTTATATCTCAACACAGCTCTTCAAACAGGAACAGCTCACACAACAGCTGACGAGGCACCACGGCCCCGCCCTGTGAAGGTTGCGAGGCAAAAGCTACCTGGTGCAGTGGAAAGAGCAAGGGGCTTGGGCCCGGTGGCCCTGGACAACTTGTTTAGCCTCCTGGAGCCCGAGCTCCTTGTCTGTGAAGTGGGCTTGGTAAGCCCCATCTCACCTTGTTGCTATGGTGTGTGGCAAAGGCCCGGCCCCTGCAGTTCTAAGATCCCTGGAGTGTGGAGTCTGAGGCCTGAGTGAAGAGGTAGAGGTAGGAGGTGTCTGTGCAGCAGACAGAGTTTCCCTCGTGTTGAAATCACACCAATGGGAAGGGAACCCTTTTCTCCCGTGAGTGCCAAGGTCTGGAAGCCGAGCTCCACAATCCTCTGCGCTCTGATCCCTGATAGTCCCAGGGAAGAGGCAAGGTGGGAGTTAGAAAACAAGGAGTGGTTGTGTGAACACCAGGGACAACCCTGCTGACCTTGGAAGCTGGTGGTAGTGGAACCTGGAGACAGGCAAACAGGAGAGCCGAGGCCAGCCCCCCTTGAAAACGCGGTGGTGGTTAAGGCAGTGGGTGGGAGGTGGTTAAGGCAGTGGGTGGGACGGGTGATTCTGACATATTTCTGCCCAGCTATGAGGAGGCATCTGCCGGAAATGCAGAGATGCTTTCCTGAAAACAACTAGGGGATAGAAAGTGGTGTAAAAAAGGTAAACAAGTAAACAAAACAAAAAACCAAACAACTCGGTAACAGAGGTACTTAATACTAGGAAATGGTATTAACATGTTAACTGTGGTGTTAAAGTACAGTTGATCTTCATTATTCACAGATGTTATACTTGTGAATTCACGCACTCACCAAAATGTGTTTGTAATTCCCAAGTCACTGCTCGTGGTGCTCTCGAGGTTGTTCACAAACATGAGCAGAGCAGCAAATAAACCTGTGTCTGCCAGTGCAAACGTTCCCAGTTGAGGTCAAGCAAATGCTCTGCCTTCTGATTTCAGCTCTTCTATGGTAAACAAGTGTTGTGCTTGTTTGTTTTTGGTTTTTCAGTCTATTTAGTGTTATGTGTTTTGCACTGTTTTCCTTTGTTGGCGACTTTGCTGTATGGAAAGACCCTCAAATGAAGTTCTGAGGTGCTGTCGAGTGCCCTTAGCACAGGAGGCTGTGCTGCGCTTTACAGAGAAAGTGTGTGTTAGGTAAGTTTCATCCACATACGAGTGCCCGTGAGTTCAATGTTCATGAATCGGCGATATATAACAAAGTGTTTTTAAATAGAACACATATTAAAGGTTATGTATAACCTATGTGGGATGAGGTTCTAGCTAGAATTGGATTTCATTGTTAAAGGGACATATAACATGGTAGAAATAATATTTTATTCATCCTTTTATTCCTGTTTTTTAGTTCCTGGAAAATATTCTCGACTAGTAGCTAGGCCTCAATAAATCAATATTTTGGAAGTTGAAAAATAAAAAGGGTTATGTATTAATTATAAAAAATGTGACCACAGGCTCACAGGCACCGGACCCTGTATTTCTTCTAGGAATAGTTCAACGTTCACTTTTCAAATGTTACAGAATATAACTGCTGCAAATAATCAGAATTAACCATACATGCTATGTATTTTTCCATACATTATCTATTTCAATGCCCACAAAGTGTTGTCTTTGTTTTACAGATAAGGAAATTGAGGTTATATGTATAAGATTGAGCTAACCTGTGCAAGTAGCAGGATTTGAAGCCATTGCTCTCTAAGGCTCTGGAGGGAAAGAAAATTTTCTCCTTCAACTGGAACGCCAGATCTTAGTAAAGGGCCATGCCCATGTCAGGCCTAGTAGGAAGGTAGACGGAGAGCTGAGCTTAGTCAAGAACAGTGTATGTCTAAGAAAGGAGGCTGGAAGAAGGGAACACAAGCCTCCAGACGTAGTCTGCTCTGGCCAGAGTAGAGCTAGAACAGCGGGGAGAAGACAGCCTGCGGTCAGCACAGAAGGGAGGCTCCAGGACGGGCGATGGGTGTGGGAGCCAACCGCATCAACAGTGGAAACATGGGAGTCGTTTCGCCTAAAAGCGAGGGCGTAGAGGCAAACAGGAGGCATCTTTTAATACCTAAAAGTATCAACACCTATTCTTCATTCCCTCTGTTGGGAATGAAGAATAGGTGAAAAGCAGAACTAGAAGAGAGGTTGAAACTCATAGGGAGATTTTGACTCGATCAAAGAAACACTTTCTGATGTTCAGAGGTCTCCAAGAAGTCAAGATTAGGGCCTGGGGGTGCACAGACCAAATCTAGTTGCAGACACATTTTGCAGGCTCACAGTGCTTTTTAAAGAGTCATGTTTAAACGCCCTTGTGTGGAGCACGTGTCTCCAGTTTCCACAGCCTGTACCACCCCTGAGCTGTTAGCCCCATATCATTCCCTTGCTTTGCCCTTGAAGTACAGGGTTGACAGATTTAGCAAATAAAAATACAGAATGAAAATAAATTTGTATTTCAGACAAAGGACAAGTAATGTTTTAGCATATGTCCCATCCAAAACTTGGGATATACTTAACACTGTGTTTATACTTATATCTGACTTGGGTTTACTGATACTGTCCTGTATTCAATCCGGCAACCCTACCCAATCTGGTGGCTTTACTTTTTCTTTATAAATTTTATTTTCCTTGAATAAAGGACACCCGGTCACACTTAATTCCCCTTCCTTCGTCTCAGCCCCCTACCCTCTCCCCTTTGGCAGTAATCAGCTGTTCTCCGTGTCTGTCTATGGGTTTTATTTATTTGTTTTTTGTTTTTTTTTAAGATTCTACTACTGCAGTCTTTAAGTAGGTGCCCCTGGTGTTACATTTTGACAAAGTGGGCTGTATATCTGGAAGTATTCAAAGACTTGTCTCAGAGGAATGTTCAGGATGGAAAGAGGACTAAAATGGTCTAAGTATGCCATTGTCCTATTTTCTGGAAACACCCCCTCCCAATTTAGAGCAGCAAAAATTGTAAGCAGGTAATACTTCCAAATAACAACCCAGGTGCTTTTCTGGGGGTGCTTGACAGGTGGGACACTAGCTTCCAGCTCTAACAGAAGAATATTCTACCAGAACTGAGACTGATTGATAGACGAGGATGTGTTTTTGACCTCTAATATCAATTACTTTTAAGTGGGAGTTGATTGATGTGTTCACAGCTAGGGAGAATGGTGGCAATCTCTTTCTGGATCTGAGCATGAACCAAGAGACATAAAACATTCCAAAATAATAATTGTTTTATCTGTCGAAAGTCACCTTCTACTTCTGTGAGACTGTGGTTAGTCATTCTGACATTTGCTTTCCTATCCTGCTGCCAGAAGTGCTTTTCTGGTTGCTTTGCACAGACTGTGACCAGCTCACTGAGGACTGGAACATGGCAGCAGTTGATCTGGAGGACACTGGCAGTACCTCACCGTGTTACCATGCAGCCTCAGTTTCCTCTACAGAAAAGAAGAGCCGGGAACTCTGAGGTGATTCCCAGAAACTGTGCCTCTAAAGATTAGTGTTAGTAGTCTTTGAACATCAACTAGTCTTTCAGCATCTTCCTGGGCTTCAGGGAATTAGGATGCTTATGTTCGATGGGACCCAAGTGAGCATTTGGTTCAACCCCCTCATTTGGGAGATAAGGAAAATTAACCTCATGGTAGGGTGACAAAGTCCAGAGCTCTTTGCAGCTCAGCAAACGGCCTCCCAATCCTCCTCCTCAGGTTATCATGTCTTCTTTCCTCACTTCCACACAAATTTCTAAAAGTCCTCCACTCAAAACAGAATCAACAATAACAGCAACAAACAACACAACACAGAAGTTAATGAAATGAGCAACAGCGTCTGGGGGAGAGTGTGCACTGCAGACTGGAGTACAGACTGAAGTGCACAGAAAGGGAGGGTCCTCCGCTGTTCCCCTCTGTCCTTTCCGGGAAGAACTCCAAGGAGACCGGTGTGTCCAGAATATCCTCCCTTCCCTAGGATAATCAGTAAATAACTCTCGTGATTCCCTATTTCCTTCAAGATTAAATAAATAAAACTTCAAAGTAAACAAACTCCATTTCAACTATTAAAATAGGGACAAATTGTTTAACACATCCTCTCTGAACTTAAGGGTTGAGTGATACCTGACACCGAAATCTCTGGATCTTAAGGACTTCAAGGGAGTTATGGCACTATTATTTTCAATAGCCCTGTTTTCACAGGTTTTCTGCCTCAGGTTTGTGCTCTTACAGTATGCACACAGATCCCCAGTCAATATGTGTGGAATGAATATTGGCGCTTTGGAAACAGAAGTACCCTGGGCCCCTCATTCACCAGCTGGTGAACTCGGGCAAGTTTTTTATTTCTCTTTGCTTCAGTTTCCTTATTTGTAAAATACAGATAAACCACCTTTCTCCTAGGATGTTGCTAAGAGAAAATGGGATAATGAAAGCAATCAATAAATGGCAGCTATTATTATTATTGTACCTGTGAATTAATGCAGTCTTAAGCAATAAGAAGCAATACAGGGCAGTATGATTTTCTAAGTTTTTAATGTGGCCCCATTTTGTCTGGCAGAGACACAGGCTGGCACCCTGAAAGCTGGGTCCTCACACTGTGGAGGGCACTGTTTTACTGATCTCTAAGTGTTTAAGGAGAAGCATCATAGTCCACACTGGAATGCATGCCGATTGTTTTATTTATGATGCTCGCTTGGATGACAAGGGCAGCCAGCATTTGGCCCCCAGGAAGAAGCTCGTGGCCCCGTCCACGTCATTACTCCACAACACGGCGGAAAGACTGGACAGCTGGGGAAGCCGCACCCCAGTCGAGGGGCTTCCGGTACTCCTTCTTGTCCAGGAGGTACTGCCTGCCACGGTAGTTGGGTAGCTCGTAGAAGATCCAGGCGCCCTCCAGCACCTTGCAGGAGTGGACCTCTCGCATGTGAAATTGCTCCATGATGGATGGACAATCTTCAGTGGTTTCATACATCTGACCATTAAAATCCCCTTTCTCAAAGATCTGAATCTTATACTGGCCTCCGCTAGACTGAGAAATAGGAGGGAATGAACAGCAACCATTATGGAAATCACAAGCAGGTCACAAACTCAGAGAACAGTCGGGTTCAGAACCCACCACCTTGAAATCTAGATGATCTGAACTCCCATCCCCACTGTGCGCTGACTGTGCGCAGCTGGTTGTCAATAAGAAAAACTTAACTCCTTAAAGTCCTCCAGAGGTAATAATTAGTGTATTCAGCCTTGTAATGAGCTGACTAAAGATTTTATTTAAGCATTCACAGCCAGAAAGACACAGCTCCCCATGAAGAAGTAGGAAAACCTCAAAAAACTTTCACAGAAAAGAAAAAGGTGGGGGAGAGGAGAGCGAGAGCACACACCACTCACCAGATGAACTGCTCTGCAGGAGCTGAGGCGATCGTTGAGGCCCATCCAATGCTGGTATTCAGGGTACTCGCCCCGGGGCAAGATGTACATGTACCCAGCAAAGTTGGGCCTTTCATACACAGCCCAGGTGCCCCCTTCCACTCTAATGGAGTTGCAGCGATTCAGGTACAGGTGGAAATCTGCACAGTCACAATCACAGTCATAGTGGCGGCCTTGAAAATTTTTGTCTTCATAGAAAGTAATCTGAAGTACAGGGCAAGCAAAGAGAACTGAGGAGTTGGGTGGCATTGTTCATACACAAAATAAAAATTAAGAACACATTCCCCACTTTAGAAAATCCTCCCTCCTCTGTTTTGCTCTCCTTTACCTTACATCATTTGCCTTGTGGCAGACAAATTTGGTTGTCAACAATAGCAAGGAGCACTTTCTGAAGGCTTAAAGTAAAACAAAACAGAAAGTGCTTTAATACAAGTCAGCAATTTCAGACTCAAGCTCATTGCTTCCTTCCACATTATATAGTAAACTATCTACTAATATGTCTGTCTCTCCCACCAGGCTCCTAATATACTGTATCCAAGGGCAAAGAACCAAACCTATTTAAGCCAAGGACTCCTGTGCCTAGCACTGATAGACCCTTAATAAATGTTTGGTGAAGACACATGAGTGCAAATGCAGACATTCATTCTAGGGGACGTGGAAGATATGAAGGAAAAAAACAACACAGACCTTAGTTTTAGAGAGCTTATTCTAGATGGATACAGAGCATACACACATGAAAATATACCATATTTAGTTCTGTATTATGACTTTATTGCCAATTGTTGCAAAGCAACAAAATGACAAGGCAAGATATTCTTTCTTTCAAACTCTTACCAAGTTTCTAACAGAATATTGGGCTACACCTCTGAGATCTGTGATGGCCCTGGAAATACGTAGCCCTGAGAAAGCAGAAATAATGAACCTGGGCTCTAGAGCTGCATCTCCATAATCAGCTCTCCACCTCAGTCAAACCATTTCTCTGTGCTCTAATTTCCCATTTGTCAAATGAAAGGAATAGACTACACTGGAAGCCCTGTCTGTAAAGTAAAACTCAAAGCTTTTCTGGTTGAAACAGGAGACAGAATTCCAAGAAATTCCTAGGGCTTTGTGAAACAACGTCTGACAACCACTGGATCAAACAGACTAGAGTTTGTCCCTTCTATAATTGCCCAATCCAAGATAAACGCACAATGGAAATCACAGGTGTCATTGATTGGAGAAGTTAATTTCCCGGTGTTATGCCGCCACCTTGTGGCTCATTTGCTTCATTGGTTTAAAAGGAGAAAGCCTTGGGAGAAACGGAGCCAAGCAGTATGGAGAGGATCTTTGAGGTGAGGCTTCAAGGATAGATAGATAGGGGGTTTTCCAGAGGAAGAGGAAAAAGGTTGACCTGTTCAGAGGAATAAAGGAATGAAAGGTCATTATAGGGACCAGTACTTCATTAAACCTGGTACATATTAAGTATTTGAGAAGTATTAGGAAATCAAGCCAGAAAAGACACAGGAGCCATGCTAGCATCCCTTGGTGACTATGTGGGAGATGCACCCAGAAACAGATGGTTGCGTGGGCAACGTGAGTGGTGAGGGTCAAAGGAAGGTCAACTGCAATGTGAAGGATAATGAAGAAACAGTCAAAAGAAATTTAGGATTTGGTGACTAATTAGATGTAGAGAATAAAGGAGAGGAAGAAAAGAGACTTGCAAATGGACATAAAACCACATTCCCTTCCACCCCACATGGTTCTATAACATTTCCCACTAATAATTATTTCCTTCTATCTTAATCTCCCCTCACCTTTCCCATTTTGTTCAACTCTTCTGTTTCCTGTTCTGTAAAAAGCTTCCTTACTCCTTCCTACCCTTCCCAAATTTCTTCGTCCCCTTTCCCATTTTACTGCAGCACATATTTAGGGGCACAGAGCCTCATTTTACAGATAAGCAAAATTGCAGCAGTACTAGTTACTGGCCCTGTGACCCTGGACATTCTCTGAAGCTCAGTCCCTTCATCTGTAAACTGGATAACAATACTTACTGCATGAGGCTGTTCTGAGGGTCCAGTGGAATAATGTCAATAAAGCACTTAGTTTAAAAATTGGCTCAAAATTGCCAATAAGCTTTTGCTATAGTTGTTATAGAAAAAGAAGTTAAATAACTTGCCTAAGGTCACTAGCTAGTTACCAGTTAGTTGCAGGAGAGGAGACTGCAGTGCAAATTCCTGGTTAGTAATCTGTTTTTCATTTTACTTTATCTTCCCCTTTGCTGTCTTCCTACCTGCACAGCTACCTCTGTTCGAAATACAGCATCTACTCTCCTAAAAAATGGAACAAGACTGGTCCTGAGGCTTTTCCCAAAACCTGTGGGAAGATCTTTAGGAAAATTAAGGTAACTTTTCTATGAATAGATATACCCAAAGTCCTTAATTCAATTTACCTTTGGTTTTTGGCCAACTGATCACCCACATATGAAAAAGAGACTTTGCAAGGGGTATGCTGTGGGAAACTAAATTAGTATTGTCTACTTTCCCTCACCGAGTCTCACACTTACTGCCCCCTGTGCAGATGCCTGGCATTATATCTGCAAAGTGAAAATATACATGATGTTCTACATAGTCACCTTGCTGTCCACCCTCCCAGCAGAGCAGCCAAGCACCAATGTTGTCCTGGAACCATTACTGAGCTCCAGGACCAAGATACTGTTGCAACTTTTCACTTGTAGAGGACCATGAAATCTACTCTATGGTCAGCTGAGAGTATGTTTTGACTCTTAGGCAAATAAATAAATAAATAAATAAATAAATAAAATTCTGCAGAGGCGGCTAAGAAATGTGCAGACTTACCTAGCAATTATTTCGAAATTCCTTGTTTTCAAGTTTATTTTTTTTTGTAAAGTAGCTTACTAAACCAATAAAGCAGAAAGAAAATTGCCTCAAGTATTCCAGAGGTAATAAAAACAAACATAATATTCTTTTTTGCCAAGCCCGTGACTCCCCTGATTCAACTGCTAGCATGAGAGTGGGAAAGGGAGAGGTAGTAAGAACGAGATACTATCTTCTTTTGTCTGGCAAACAAGAGTTATTTACCTTAAGTTTTTTAAAAAAGCCCAGCTACAAGAAATAAAAGAGAGCAACACCATCACTACTTTGGAAAGTTCTGAAAGCAGGGATGTTTTCATCTACCACAGTTCTGAAACAGCCTTCCCTCAAGACATATGGATGCCCCTAAGGAATTCGAATTCTTTCTAGTGGGATGTGCAATGACATATGTATTTTCAGGAATTTCAGAGGACTAAAGACAGTCTCATTTTTCTCCCCAAAGTTTATGAATGACAAGTATGACTTAGTTCTATTTTCTAAATGGAAAGAAAAAATCAGGCACTAGCCAGTTCTTAAACACATGAACAGGTGTACCAATGGTGCTGTGGGAAGTACTTGGCATTGCCTACGAAGCTCTCTTGAAATTGATTGTCAGTTGAAATCTAAACACGTGGAAACAATCTGATTAATCTAGATTTCGGGACTTTCTATAAGACACCTGGTTTGGACTTTGAAGAATGTCAATGTCTCAAGAAACAACAGAAAAGGTAAAGGGACTATTCTATATAAAGGAGGCTAAAGAAACACAACCACCAAATGCAATGCACAATCAATCCTTCATTCCATCCTACATCAGGGGAAAAGCCAGCCATGAGCAAATTTTGGAGAGCAATGAGGAAAACTTGAATACAGTCTGAATATTAGGTATCATACTTATGATACATTTGGGGGACAAGATAATGATATTACGTTTATACAGGGGAATGCCCTGGTAAATATTTAAAGTGAAGGTTTTAAGATCACTATTTTCAAATAGTGGTTTAGTAAAAAGAGACAGAGACAAAATATGGCAAAACGTTAACAGAGAATATACTGGTAAGTGAAGGATATACAAGTATTCATTCACTACTTCTTTTTTTTCTTTCATGATTCAATGGGTTTAGCCCTAGCCGGTGTGGCTTAGTTGGTTGAGTGCCATCCCGCACACAGAAAGGTTGCGGGCTCAACTGCTCGTCAGGGTGTATACCTAGACTGCGGGTTTGGTCCCTTGTTTGGGGTGCCTACACGAGACAACCCATCAATGTTTCTCTCTCTCTCCCCCCTCCTTTCTTAAAAAAATTAATAAATGTACTGTCAAGAGAGAATTTAAAAAAAGATTTAATACACTTGAAACTCTTTGAAGTAAAAAAATCAGGGGGGAAAATCAGCACCAATGACACTGTCTTAAACCAACTGGTCAGCAAAAGAGCTGAACAGAGAATGGGGGTGTATTCCCTCACTCCCAAAGCGCTGCTTGAGGGATCAATACCCAGTGCAACAGTTATGAATCAAATACTCAAGGCAATTTTCCTAACTTAATAAGCACTTTATTTGGGGCAAAAGGTAAAAGTAACTGCTTGAATGAAAAGGATATGTAGGACTTAATTCACTTCACTGGTCCATCTACCTTGTCTTTTAAAAATATAAATGGTTGAGGCTAAATTTCATAAAACAAAATTTTCATTGAATACTGAAAGCTTTCTACTTCACATAATCTTCTGGTCTGCATGTCCTATTCCTGTGGAAGTTCATAGAACATGCCTTTGCTGGAAGACAGAAATCATGATCTTCACTTATTATAGACCTTGTACAGGATTGAACATAAAGATAACCCCTGAACAAACTGTGAGGTGATTCTGTTAGGGCAGAAAATAGAGTAGCATATCTTAACCTCCTCTCCCAATCCCAACCTTCTCGCCACTATCATACTCACCTCCAGGCGAAGGAGCAAAGACTTTTCTATATGCTTCTTTCAGCGTATCATTAGTGAAAAGAAAGTGGGTAGGCTAAAACTCAGCATGACCATGTACTTACCTTGGTTCCAGTTTTAGACATTTTTGGTGCATAGATGGGCTTCCCCAGTGCTGAAATCCAGGAACAGCTACAGAGCTGGAGGCACAGAGACATTTATACTGGGCTGGTTTCAAACCAAACATTTGCTTAGTCATGAGAATAGGATCCAAAAATTGAGTCAGTCTTTTAGAAGCTACTGATGGTTTCTAGAAAAACAATTGGGATTATGAAATAAAGGAAAGCTTTCAGTACCCACTTTAATGCTTACCAAGCCTTGCTGCACTATTTGCTGAGTCCGGACACCAAAACTCAGCCAAAGTTTTCAAAATAAAAAATGAAAATGGTCCTCTTATCTGGGCAATTTGATTTTCTAGAAATCAACAGATGAGTCAAAAGGATACCCTCTATTTCTGAACAAAAGTGACAGGTTGCAAAGCAATGTCACATATAAATAAAGGCAATGCATGATGCTCTTTGGTTTGGATAAAAAGTCACTGGAAAGGACATCTTTGAAACAAATAGCAAAAATTTTAATATAAACTGTGTATTAGATAATACTATTGTACCAATGTTAAACTTCCCAAATTTAATCACTGTACTATGACTAGCCAGGTAAGAGGATGTCTGTGTTTTTATCAAATACATGCTAATGTATTTAGGAGTAAAGGTCGAAGATGTCTGCCACCTATTCTCAAATCATTGAGCGGAATTAAATAATACTATATAGAGTGGTAAAGTGAATGTTGCAAAGTGTTAACACCTGGTGAATCTAGACAAAAGTTATGTAGGAATTCAGATTCTTGCACCAGTTCTTTAAGTTAGAATTTTACATACAAAAACACACACACATGCAAACACACATGCACACACACAGAGTTCTAATCCACAAGAAACGGTGCTATATATGTAGCCTGAGAGACAGAAAACTATAGGGACTCCTGAATTTGCAAAGGTTTAGCTAATTAAGCCCAATTTGCTACTTACTAGGTGGCATTTCTATGCAATGATCTCTTACTGGGACCTGTTTATAGAGAACATGTTGGCACTTTTTTAATACACCTCTGACTTTAGGGATGAGATTACTACCTTACATGTGCTCAAAAACAAACAAACGCACACACGCACAAACATCAACTGTTTTCCATTTTACTTTTCCTGGGCAATATATTTTTCTCAAAAGTCCCATTTCATCATCTTTTCACTATCCAAATATCCTACAAATATTTTTACAAATGAGATGCCCCCAAGATACATTATGGTCAATTCAGCAAATGGCAAATGTGTCTTGATATGCAGGTTACTGGGAAACAAAGTGTTAAGTTATGTGCTTAGTGTTCTGAATTTTATGAAGTTTAAAGAAAGTAATTAATATGATTATTTTAATTAACCAATAGCAATTTACAAAACATACTTTTATCACTCCTGTGTTTATTTGATAATACTCTGCTTCCTTGAATTTCATCTTAAAAACTATGAAAACCTCAGAATTAACAAATTCCAAGGTTTAATTTTCACTTTAGAAATAAAGTTCAAGCCTTTTCTTGAAATAATTAAGAATTCAATGGTCAACGAGCACATGAAACATTTATCAGCAATCAGATTCATTTTACTAATTTGATAATTATTTTATGTTAAAGAACACAGCTTTCCCAATCGAATGTAAACTGTATTTTGATATATCACAGAATAACACTGGAAACCTTTTTCTAAAGTTATAAGTGAAGCTTTATCTTTTCATCAAAAGGAAAAAATTACTTTTAATGGCATGTTTATTGAAAATCTGAAGCACAAAGTGAAAATAAAGACTTTACAATTTCATTAAGTTTTATACTTTAAGGACTAAAATATCTTTGCATAAAACTATCTTCGCTACATTTATATACCAACAATTATACTTTCTTTCCAATTATTTTTGAAAAGAGTAGAAATTTCCTTTTACATAGTTACAAAGAACTATAAAACTCTCAACCTCAGAAAGGATGAAATCCTTTTATCATACAAATTAAAATGTGAAGTTAACTTATTATAAATCTACATTCAATCACTTTAAAATGAACATATATACAATGGGGCTGGCCTCATCAACTTTTACATTTTGGCATCACAAAGATGAATCATCCCATGTTCTATAAACAGTACATTTATATGATGGTCAGAAGTTCACCTAAATTCAACTGAAATGGTAATAAATAAGTATGCGATGGAAATCAAGGAAAGGTCTTAAACAGGAAGAAAAAGCCCTGATGTCTTTCAAGCAGCAAGCGCACCTTCCCAATTTAGTTTCAAGATGTACATCATCTTCCTTTCATCCTCATTCTTCCAGGGCCCTGAAGATAGAAGAGAAAATTTAAATTAAATTCATTTTCTATTATCTTCATACATACAATTAAGAAAAAATCTTTGCAATTACAGAATCACATAAATTATCAAGGCCAGATGAAAATCAGAAATAATAAAATATACAAAGTTTAAAGTTAATTATATTCATTTTTCTGAAGAACGCATTAGTTCATAATAAAGAAATTCATACATAAACCTTAAACATTGGCAGGTTATGAGGATTAGTTGAACTAAAATTTTCCCTGTTATAATTCCATTTCTTTATAATCTTCAACAGATTTCCTATTCTTGACTTAGCATTTACTGACTAAATGTTATAAAATTCCTTCTTAATAAAAAGTAATGCTCTAAAAATGTCAACAACATGTAAAGTAATCAATAAGTTCATGCGTTTCGAAAACAGTTGAGCAGTTAGTCAAATGTTAAAACATGTGACCTTCTACCCCTAGGTATGCACACAAGAAAAGAATAAAAACGTCTACATAAAAGTACACAGCAGCGTTATACACAAAAGCTAAAAGGTGGAAACAACCCAAATGTCCGTCAACTGACGAACAGATAAACAAAGTGTGGTACATCCATACGACGGAGTATTATCCAGTCATGAAAAGGAATGACATACTGACATATGCTACATAGATACACCTGGAAAACACTATGCTGAAAGAAACCAGATGGGGGTCACATGTTTTATGATTCCATTTTATATGAAATGTCCAGAGCTGACAAATCTAGAGACAAAAAGGTAAGTGGCTGCCAGGGACTAGGGGAAGACGAGACATCTGTAGTTGGAGGAGCAGGGAGTGACTATCTGTGTATGGGGCTTATTTTTAGGGTGATAAAAATATTCTGGATTTGTTCATGGTGATGGCTGTACAAATTTTTTAATATAATAAAAGCTGCTGCCCTGGCTGGTGTAGCTCAGTGGATTGAGCGCTGGCCTGCGAACAAGAGGATCACGGTTCGATTCCCAGTCAGGGCACATGCCTGGGTTGCAGGCCAATTCCCAGGGGGGGACACACAAGAGACAACCATACATTGATATTTCTCTCCCTCTCTCCTTCCCTTCCCTTCCCCTTTAAAGATAAATAAATAAAATCTTTAAAAAATAATAAAAGCTGCTGAATTCTTCACTTTAGAAAGGTGATTTTTATGGTAAGTCAACTATATCTCAATAAAAATTAAAAATAATTTTTCCCACTTTAGACACTGAGTTTCATTTCTCAAAGACAAATATTGTGATTTTTATATCTTTTCAGAAATTCTAAGGCATATAATTAGCATAGAAATATGTGTGATAATCCCTCTCCTTTTTCAAATACACGAGGGAACATTTTCTACACATATTTGCTCCAAACCTCCCACCCCTGGCTCAGTGATCATTTAGTATCAGCACAATCAGATACACCTCATTCTTTTTGAATATGAATCCCATGACATCACTATATCAGTTCATGAGGCACCAGCCTGCAACTGAGAAGCATTTGGGTTGTTTCCAGTCTGCAGCTATTTCAAACGATGCTGCCATGAACCAGTTTTTTATAGAGACCTTCCCATACATAAATGTTATGTGTCAGTTAAATTTAAGAAGTGAAATTGCTAAGTCAAAGACTATGTGTATTTTAATTTTGCCTGTCAAACTATCCTCCAAAAAGTTGGCAAATTTACACTCTCCCCAGTAGTCAGTGGAAGTCTTGCCAGTTTTGTGACATGTATACCATCACTTTTTGATCCTTGCCAGTCTGGTACATAAAAAATAGTTCCCCACATTTGTTTAATCAGAAATGAAAGTGAGAGTCTTTGTGTTTGTATTTTTCTATTCATTTAGGTCCTTTGTTTTTCTATTGTTGGTCTTTAAAAATATTTTTAAATGGCAAAGTAAATTTCTATAAAAATACTACATATTTAGATTAAATAACTTCCTTTTTAAGTTTTGTCTCTATTCATGTTCTCCTCCACTGAATCTGTGATCTCCTAGAGTTCACTATTCAAATCTTTGTTTGGATTAATTCTGGTAACTTATTATTGCTCAGGAGTAATGAACAAAACCCAGCTAATTCAATCATTGATTTGTGTGTGGGGTGATGGGAAAGGAGGAGGATGTGTTAAAAAGGAGGAATAAAACTTAAAGCTCTTTATGAGGAAAGTAGTCTCTTTGGACAGTACAAATTGAGCCATTATATTTGCCCATGGTTCAACAGGGTCCATGATTTAGATCAACCAACTAAATGTACTGGTTGATCTTCTCACTAAAAACTGTGGCAAACACCAGTGTGTACAGGTCTGTATATGCTGGTGGGAGTGCTGGAAAAAATGTGGCAACATTTGGTAACATAATATTCTGTGAAGGTTTTTTGTATGTTTACAGTATTTCCCCAGAGTAAAGTGGTCTGCATTATAAATGCCTACCAGTGCTCTGATGTAAGAGTCTCATCCTGCTGCTTGTTTGGAACCTGCTGCAGGGGGCACGAGGCTGTCCAGCTGTTGGAGATGTCCTGTATTAATCAACCACTCATAGAACTTATTCTCCACCAGGATCTGGAACTGCTTCCTTTGATCCCTAAAATTGCAGTGTAGAACAACAAGAATGTAAAAATACTAATTTGTGTTAATTTTACTCTAAGTGATTATAAAACACTTTGATGCAATAAATGTTAAATTGTTTTTAGTTACCCATTTGTTCTCTCCCAATAACTGTTCCATTCAGTTATGTACATTGGACTACCACCTCCAAAAATAAATTTGGTTGGATACAATGCCTTCTTTGTAAAGACTTATCAATAGCTATATAGTTTGTTCTACTGTGGTTACTTATTCGACAGATATTTGCTGAAGACCAAGTGGTGCTGGGTGGAATTCTGACTTAAGGGGATAAATGTGCAAAGAAAGGAGAAGAGACAAGGCTCCTGTCCAGGCAGGTCTGCCCTGTACGACTCCAGAGGGCACCACTCACACTATTAATCTATGTTCCACGTGGATTGTGTATTATAGTAGGGAAGACAGGTAATAAATGAAATAAATATATGATATGAAGTTAAGTAGTTTTAAGTGCCTTCCAGAACAATACAGCAGAGTAAGCGAATGAAGAATATTGGGAATGCTATTTTACAGAAAATATGAACAGAGACAGCCTGAGCTAAAACTTTAAGCAGAAGTCTAAATGGACTGATGGATTAAGCAAACTAAATTATCTGGAGAAAGCATTCCAGGCAGAGGAAATAAGAAGTGCAAAGGCTCTAAAATTAAAGCATATCTAACATGTTCAAGATAAGAAAGAGAAGACTAGCTCCTGATAGCCAGGAGCTAGCTTAGTACTATCAGCCAGCGCTTACTGTAGCTAGGATCTGGCCTGGCTGTGTCTGTTGAACATAAACAATTCCACAGAAGAAGGCCGACATTTGACAAGGCCACTTTGGGAGGACAACAGATCAAGGCAAGGACAAGACCACTCCATAATCCTATCTCAGTCCAGACAAAAATCATTTTGTGGTCCACAGCACACAAGTAACCAAATATCACTCTTCCCTGCCTAGTGAATAACTGCTGTTTCTTTACGATTATAGTTTTAGCTCCACTTTATTCCTTTGCCTTTAATAGAAAAATTACTAAGATATCAAATTATTGAATTACTCTTGCTTCCAGATAGCATCCAACTGAAACAAAAGCTTGCTTCCTAGAACCCTCTCTGAAATCACCTAACATAAGCCAAAACCCAATTATAAGATCTTTTTAACACCCTTTTTCTGAAATGAAACACAATTCTCTCCCTACTTGCAATGAGTAATAAAACCCAGCTTTGTTCTATATTTACTGTCCTGGTGGTGTCTGGCTAGAGGGCAATGACTAAGTAATAGCAAGAAGACTGTAGAACGGCAGAAGGGGAGTAAACGAGAAAAGAATAGCAGAAAATGAGGCAGGAGGAATGTTAGATACAGTAAACATTTTAGATTTTATTCCAAGATGATGGAAAGCCACCAGAGGGGTCAGAGTAGAGAAATGATACAATCTAATCACTTTTAAAAGACTGTGTTGGCAGTTTCTCTTCAAATTGATCAAAAATTCTTTTGTCTTCCTATATTCCCCAAATTGAACTGAATACTTTTCCTTGTTTTTAGTGTTATCCTGGATCTTAATGCCTTAATACACAATGATTCAGAGCCAACATTTATTAAATAGTCACCACATTCTGAACACTGCTCATGTGTATAAGCTTTTCACATGTGTAAGAAAAATCGAGCATCTAAAATAGTAGAATTAAAAGAAGTGCTTTAAAGGATACTCTGTTCAATGATCATTGTTATAGAACTATAATATAACATAACATAACATAACATAACATAACATAACATAACATAACAGTTGTTAATCCCAGCTCCTGTATAACTTTGGGTCAATTATTTAATCTCTCTGTTTCTCAGTTTTTCTATAATAGAGTAGGGTACCTGTTATAAAGCATAAATGAGTTAATACATAGAAGGTGCTTAAAATAGTACTTGTTGCACAGTAAGTGCTCAATGCATATTACCTGTTACTATAGTTATCATCATTATTCTATGATATGCTGAACTGAGAATGACCAATTTGTAGCATTAATGTCTTGGTGGCTCAATTCGCAAGATACAAACCAGGTGGAATGTTTGCAAAACATAGCAGCATCATCACGATAAATTCCCAGGCAAAGCATGAGTTGCAACCGTTAGTGATCTTTATATATTTTGGTTGGAAGTGACTACTTTTAAAGAGTCTAAATGCAATTTTGTAACTATGAATATATATAGGGCGGGACTGAAGTAAGTTTACAGTTGTGAGTATGTGAAGCCAAACTTTATCCTTGTATTTTTATTTAATTATTGTAATACTTTCTATACAAACAACTGTAAAACTACCTTTGCCCCACCCTGTGTTTCATTCATTCCTTAATCCATATTATGAGAACAAAGCCACAAGAATGCACCCAGAAAATACTGTGGCTGGATCAAGTCTTTTTCAATGACTATTTCTCTTACTACTACTATTACTATTCTAACAGGTCAGGTCTCAGATATGCTGGATAAACAATCTTACCCAGAAGATGTGTCTCACAAAAACACATCACTAAACAGTGTGTCTCACACATACCCATTACTTATTAAACCTTCACATCAATCACAACAGGAGGAGAATATACTTACGCTTTACATATAATACAATTAAAAGCTAGAGAAGTTAAATGACAGACTCAACATCACATTGTAAAGTGGCATGGTCAGTAGTAATCCCCAAGTCTGAGTACTTTCCAGTACAATACAGACACAGCTATCCAAAGAACACTGATCTTGCCCTGAGCAGTGTGGTTCAGTTGGTTGGGCATCATTCTGCAAAATGAAGGGTTCAACTCCTGGTCAAGGCACATGCCTTGGTTGCAGGTTTGGTCCCTGGTCTGGGTGCATAAGAGAGGCAACAGATCAATGCTTCTCCTTCACACTGATGTGTCTGTCTCTCCCTTTCTTTCTCCCTCCCTTCTTCTCTCTCTAAAAATAATTAAACAAAATCTTACTAAAATAAGCATCTTTATTCATATATTAAACAGCAGTCTGGATCATCAGAAATAGAAACATTTTAGAGTGGCTGCCATTTTCTAAAATAATGACAACCAAAAAAAAAATACTAGGCAAATGAAATCCAATTATTAAAAAGGTCTTTCTATCTTAAGGAAAAGTCATAATAGTCAAGATATTAGCAGGACATATGGCATTTATTATAAAGATCCCCCAAAAGAACTTTATACATTTTTTTCAAACTTGTTACAGCTCACACGTGGACAATGTTTTAATGCTGTGGAAGCAACCCTTCATCGTTTGGTACCATGTTTCCTATGCTCCTTTTCTAATATTGCTAACAAATAAAACTTGATTAAATACCAAGATACTTGTATGAACAATAATTATTTATTTTCAGTACCACTCCTTTCACAATATATATGGTATTCTTTCCAGAAGAAAGCTGATTAATGAGTCCTTGCCAGTGGGGTTCAGTGGACTGAGTGCCAGCCTGTGAACCAAAAGGTCGTTGGTGTGGTTCCCAATCAGGGCACATGCCTGGGTTGTGGGCCAGGTTCCCTGGATGGGGGCGTGCAAGAGGCAACCAACTGATGTATCTCTCACACATGGATGTTTCTCTCCCCCTCTTTCTCCCTCTTACCCTCTCTCTGAAAAGTAGATAAATAATATCTAAAACAAAAGTTGATTAATAAGTTTCTAAACTGGGCCCCAATTTTTGGAGTTAGTTACCTTTGATTTTCTTGTGTTTTTCACAAAATTTTACACTGAATCCTGCCACCTGTCAAAGTATTCCTGGTTTCTGTCCCCTTCCCCTCCATACTAGTCCAGTTTCTTAGTCTGGGCCCAGGGGTGTCCAACCTTTTGGCATCTCTGGGCCACACTGGAAGAAGAGGAGTTGTTTTGGGCCACACATTAAATATACAAACACTAATGAAAACTGACGAGCAATAAAAAGGTTTTAAGTGGATTTATGATTTTGTGTTAGGCCACATTCACAGCCATCCTGGGCCGCAAGTGGCCCATGGGCTACAGGCTGGACACTCTAGGCCATTGAAATAATATTACCCTGACTTCCCTTTTTAATCTGTCTAACCAGAGGATCTTCCGATATGCCAACCACGTTTCATTACGCATTTTAAAAACTGCCACAAAATTTAATAAAGTAGCTTGCATACTGTAGGCATTCCATAAATGTTCTTGAATAAGTGAAAAAGCTTTCTGTACTTCAGTCTACTACTCAAAACCTTTTAATGGCTCCCACTGCTTAATTCCACTTAAGTCTAACTTTCACTGCCTTGCATTCAAGTGTTTATATAACCTGTTCTGTCTACCATCCAAGATTAAATGCCACTATTCCATACGCAGAGTCCTATGTCAGCAATTGATTTATAGGATACCTAAGGTCTGCTTCCGCTTCACATCTGCTCCTCTAGTGATATTAAAAGTATTCTGCTCAGTTTTCACTTCCTATCCAAATTTGGCTCATTCTTCAAGATCCAAGTTCTACTTCCGTTAATCTTCCCTGATCACTACATGGATGTTTTCTAAATCACTATAAACCAGGAAGTGTGTCCCTGGTTTCTGGAAGTCAAAGGCCAATACTTTTAAAATAAAATTTTGTGACTGACATAATAAACCACAACTATTGCTTCCAGCCAAGATGGAGGTGTACGTAGATACACTGCACCTCCTTGCACAACCAAAATAAGGACGACAACAATTTCAAAACAAAATAACAACCAGTATGGCCAGAAAATTGAACTGTATGGGGAGTTAAGTAGACTCATTCATCCAGACTGGTAGGAGGGACGAAGTCGGGGGGTCGGGCAGAGATGCGTTGTAGCACAGTGGTGACTGGCTGACCCAGGGTACACAAGGCAACAGTGGGTAGACCCAGGATTGTGGAGGGGCGCGCTGTACAAGGTGGCTGGAGAACTGAGCAGTTCCACATTATCGCGCACAGATAAACCAGGTGAAATTGGGGAGCAAGACAGACCTCGCAACCCAAGGTCCCAGCATGGGAAAATAAAGCCTCAAAGCACTGATTGAAAACACCTGTGGTAGTTGAGGTGCCGGGAGGAACTCTTAGCACCTCAGTAGAGTTTGCTGGAGACCCACAGGGTCCTAGAACATACAGAAACCCATCCACATGGGAATCAGCACCAGAATGGCCCAGGTTGCTTAGGGGAAGTGGTGGAAGTGACTGAAATCCGGCAGAGAATGGAGCAAGTGTCACTGTTCCCTCTTGGACCCTCCCCCACATATAGCATCACAACCCGCAACTGGGTTGCCCCACCCTGGTGAACACCTAAGGCTCCGCTCCTCACTACTTAACAGGTGCATCAAGATTAAAAAAATGGCCCAAATGAAAGAACAGATCAAAGCTCCAGAGCAATTACAACTAAGCAATGAACAGATAGCCAACCTATCTTATCAGATGCACAGTTCACAACACTGGTAATCAGGATGCTTACAGAACTGGTTGAATTTGGTTGCAAATTAGATGAAAAAATGAAGGCTACACTAAGTGAAATAAAGGAAAGTGTACAGGGAACTAATAGTGATGGGAAGGAAACTGGGACTCAAATCAATGGAGTGGACCAGAAGGAAGAAAGAAACAACCAAACAGAAAAGAATGAAGAAACAGGAATTCAAAAAAATGAGGAGGCTTAGGAACCTCCAGGACATCTTTAAACATTCCAACATCTGAATTATAGGGGTACCAGAAGGAGAAGAGGAAGAGCAACAAATGGAAAAGTTATTTGAACAAATAATAAAAGAGAACTTCACCAATCTGGCAAAGGAAATAGATTTCCAGGAAGTCCAGGAAGCTCAGAGGGTCCCAAAGAAGTTGGACCCAAGGAAGAACACACCAAGGCCCATCATAATTACATTACCCAAGATTAAAATGAAGGAGAGAATCCTAGAAGCAGCAAGACAAAAGGAGAAAGTTACATACAAAGGAGTGTCCATAAGACTGTCAGCTGATTTCTCAAGAGACCTTATGGGCAAGAAGGAACTGGAAAGAAGTATTTGAAGTCATGAAAGGCAAGGACCTACATCCAAGATTGCTCTATCCAGTAAAGCTTTCACTTAGAGTGGAAGAGCAGATCAAGTGCTTCTCAGATAAGGTCAAGTTGAAGGAGTTCATCATCACCAAGCCCTTATTATATGAAATGTTAAAGGGACTTATCTATGAAAAAGAAGATAAAAAATATGAACAGTGAAATATAAGTTGCTGTCCAGCAACTCAGTTATTAACAACCACACCTAAAACAAAAGCAAACTAAGCAGACAGCTGGATCAGGAGTGGTGCCACAGAAATGGAGATCACATGGAGGGTTAGCAACAGGTGAATGGGAGGAGGAGAGAGGGGGAGAAGGTACAGAGAATAAGTAGCATAGATGGTAGGTAGAAAACAGACAGGGAGAGGGTAAGAATAGTATGGGAAATGTAGAAGCTAAAGAACTTATGACACATGGACATGAACTAAAGGGGGGGAATGTGGGTGGGAGGGGGTGTGCAAGGTGGAGGGGAGTGAAGGAGGGAAAATGGGACAACTGTAATAGCATAATCAATAAAATATATTAAAAATAAAAAAGATTAAAAGAAAGAGTAACAAAAAACTATCACAGCATGTTAATAAAAGAGTTTAGTACTCAAAAGTAGGAAGAAAATAATCTCAGAAAAAACAGTATTTTAAACTAAATTCAGCTTTATTTGACAACACTGTACGAATTAGGGAAAAATGGATTAGGGAACACCGACAAAAACTGGCATTAGTCCATGGACCAGCATGAGGAATCTGTCTGTAGTGTGGTGAAGTCAGAAAATCAGTATTTTTAACAAGCTCCTTGGATGACTCTGATGCATGACTAAGTTTGAGAACCACCAGCATAGTGTAGAAGAGTAAATTAAAAACTAAAATCAATCCATTTAAGCAGATCGTGGGGCATATACTATATATGATCTTCCATTCATATTAATATATATCTTCTAACTAAACTTAAGCTTCTTTGAAAAAAGAGTCTAATATTAGAGTTATTAGACTCTTACCTCCCCAAGCAAAGTGCCTGAAATACTGACCTGACACATAAGCCTCAACTGAGGATATGCTGTGTATTTTTATTACTTTAGCACAGCCGTAAATATGTGCAGATTAATTTGCTTTCCATAGTTTTACTGAGACAAATGATTACTTCTATAAAATACTTACTTTGTCAAATGAGCTTCCTTCACAGTTTTCTGCCAGATCTGTATCTTTTGTTCTCTTTGGCCCAGTGCTTTCTGATATGCGGATGGAAGACCCCCAGGTATTTCCGTTGTGTCCCCTTCCATTTCGAAGGGAATAATAAATACATAGAATTCACAAGGTGGTAAGAGTCGGAACACACTTGTGTCTCTGTTCTCTCTGCACAGAATCATTGGATTATCCCAATAGTTAGGCACTGTAGCAAGGCCGGTTCTGGCCATATGGTCCTCCAGCATTGGGTAATGGGTATGAAAAGGGGCAAAAGTTACTGTGTGGTTCCCAGAGAAAATAAGTGGGCGTGTAGGCGTCAGAATGTGAAAGATGCAGCCTATAGTAGAAGAGATGGACAAACGATGACAAACAGCAATGACTTTAACATTGTCACAGCCATGGAGGTGAAGAGTAGTCTGTACTGGGCCAAGAATAAATGTGCTATTTCTGCACTTCTCAATTGTCACAGATCTGAAAAACAGAACACTGAGGTAAATTCCTGTGAATAATGGTACGATAAAAATATTTGACTACAAAATATTATTTGATGGTTTAAAAAAAGATCAATCCTAGCCTAAAGAAAATGTCAAAAATGTCAGAACACTATGAAGACTGTGCTTACCGTAAGGGAGAGAGCAGGTATATAAAAGATTCGTTGCAACGATGAATCTTTACATGTGCCCCCACCAGAGTATCTGAGCTCTTAGCCAATGTCTGCTTGTAAACCTGGCTCATCACCACCATGCGGTGCATCCTAGGGGCCACATGAGTATTACAAGCAATCTTAGCTCTTTTGGTCGTCCCTTCAACTAGTTAAGAAAAACAAAAATAAATGAGATAGTTTCAAATGAGAGAAAAATCACAACCATATGATGTTACACATATCTACACATATACATACATGTCTAAAATCAGATGCATGTGAGGTTTAAAAATATTAGATCTGGGTATGGGTAAAGAGGTGTTTGTTATACTATTTTCTGTACTTCTTGGTATATTTTTAATACTTGATAATTTTTTGTCATAAAAAATTTTAATCCACTCAAGATTGCCAACATAGATCTTACCTTCTTAGATATTTGAAAAATATCTAAGATATTTTCATTTCTCCCTTCAGATTAAGTAATGTGTCTAAGGTTGTATAGCTGGTAGGTTGGAGAACTGGGCCAACTCAAATATCTTGTTCTCCAAGATGCCTTAATTTATCATTCCCACCTCTAAAAAATCTCTTTAAACTGCCATAATACTAATTCTGAATCCATCCTAAGTTACTTACCAAATCATTCTGTGAATTCTTTGGTTTTGGCATTTACTCCCGAGATCATTACTGAGAGCCTATCTCCCTCTCAAACACAGCGCCTTGCACAAACTGACAAAAAGCCTGTGCAGGTTGCACTCCTCCTAACACAGTCCTGCCATTATGTGATTGACTTCTCAGACTGTACTTCCCTGCAAGCCACTGGGACACCCTTGTGGAGACTACTGGCCAGATGTAAAAAAATCACTAAAGTATGCTATTATTCTTTTTAAAGAATACTCTTCTCATTACCTTATAATAGATAAGCAATACATGGTTGTAGAAAAATTTGAATACTAGTGGTAAAAGAAGGTAAAATTACTTTTTATTGTAGTATCTACCACTGATAACACTTTAATATAACCCTAAAAGGTTATAAATATCCTTTTTTCCCTAATGGGGCCTACCCTAACATTTAAAAACTTACTTAAATCTATATTCTTTTATCAACATGAAGGATTATACAGTATCTACTATGTATTTATGGGAGCCTTACAAATGTGAGAATCTTTGATCTCATACCAGAGCAATAGCTTAGTTGAATATAGAACTCTTAGATCAGTATGATTTTGCTCAAGATTCTGTAGATGTTTATCAACCATTTTCTGTTTTTTAACATTATAAAAACTTGATACAAAACTGATTTTTTTCTTACCTTTGCACAGAAGCTATTTTTTTCTTTATCTTTGAAATTCGGAGATTATGAAAGTATATTGTAGGTAGGTTTTTTTTTTTAAATTAACTTTGGCATTTGCCTCAGTATAGGCACCTACTTCTCTTCAAACTTATACCTGGGCCTCAGGAAGTCATATAGCACCTGAACCTATCCTTTTAGCCACCAATGGACTGCTGAGAATAGATAACTGATGCAACCAGGGTCAGACACTCTCCATGATAAATTTAAATCCTGAATTTAGAAATATCTAGTCTGCTTATGTCTGAGGTGCTAAAAAGAGCTTTAGCTCTATACCAACTCTCTGAGGTTACCTGTGGAATGGCCAAATTCTACTGTGGTGTGTAGAAAATAGGAAAGACTCAAGCAACTGAACCTATGAGAATGAGAGGAAGAATCAAAAAGAAAAAAAGCAGAACAAAAAGAGGATTAACTGAAGTTGGGAGATTCTGTTAATGGAAATCAGAAGGACTAATATACCAATTCTCTGAGACTGATGCTGCCTTGAGAGAAAAAGGCACACACGCACACACATATAAATGCTCCCCTGTTTTCTTTTATAGTAGCAATATTTTTAGGTCTTCTATAGAAGATGTATGATCATTAATATGCCAGAAAACACTAGGTTCCCTAACTGGTCATTCAATTTAATATAGATTAAAATATTAAATACCTTGGTGAGCCCAAGCCAATTTCTTTCCAGACTTGAGGCAAGCAGAGGTACCAAATGGATTCCCAGTCAAACAGGCTCTCAACCAGGTTTGCAGCTTGTAGAAAGAAAAGGTCTTAGAGATCTTTGAGAAGCCACTTTCTGTATGCAGTGGTTGCCATAGCGCAAGTTCATGAAGCGGATATATCTTCCTGGCTCTCCTCACTGTACCTTCAATAAGAAAGCTGAGTGCCACAACAGCTTCTCTAGAGACTAGACTACTATTAGTCGAATGAGAGGATGTAGTGAGTTGTTCTGGATCTAAAAGCAGCTCAAGGAGATCTGACAGATGGTCATAGACAAACGCCTGGTGACTGTAATCATTCCAGTTCTAAAAAAAAAGAAAAGGATGCACTCTTAACAGAATAAAGAGATTCTGTGAGATATGAAATTTTTATATTTTAATTATCTTGTATTTATACTTTGCCTCATACTCAACAAACTATTTAAGGAGCCGTAAAAACCTTGTAAGATTTTTTGTGTGCATGTGATAGGTATAAAGTCTCTCTCTTGATCTCAGCCAATTCAAAAATACTAAAAACTAACCCTTAGTGTGTGCCAAACACTAAGTATTACATGAAGTTTAATGTATTTAATCCTAACAACAATCTTAAGATGGCACATTTTACAGATAAGGAAAAAGACAAACAGAGAGGTTTAAAAACTCACCCAAGGTCACACAACTAAGTAAATACTTTGAAAGTTTCAGACCAAACATAAAAATAACCACATTGAGCAGTCATTCAATGAAACACTGGGTTTCTTTACTTACCTGCTCAAATTACAGAAAAAATTTCCAGTTCCACTGAATGAAACAAAGCAACCAATCTTACTGTAACTAAATTTAGGAGAGGTTATAATTTTGGGAATAAGCTTTGAACTGGCAGATGTCCCAATGACTTGGCTTATTCATTTCACAGTTATTTTTTATGATATGAACAGTGTTAAGTGATAAATTATGAAACTAACACATACATATCTCCTGTTCTCAAGGAACTATTGTCTTTTCACTATGTAGTGAAAAGAAAATATAACCAAATAATTGTAACACAATGAGTTAACACCTATACCAAATATCTCCAAAGACATTCTATGAGCATGAGAGAAACAACAAACTCAAGTTGGGGAAAAAACTGTAGTGGGTGCTGTTTGAATAGATCCTCGATGAATACTTTAGGTAAATAGACAAAAAAAGGCATTTGAGGCATAGGGAACGGCATATGCCAAAGCTCACAGAACTAAATTTACTTGCTGTGTTTGGGGAACTGGAAGTTCTAGGAGAGGTGAAGAAAGCATGCTAAGAAGTGACAGGTTAAAACAAACAAACAAACAAACAAACAAAAATAAGCCCAGCTAAAATAGTAGTTAGGGACTAATTATGAAAAGCTTTGTATGAAACACTAAAACATCTGGACTGTGTGCCAGGGACTAAAACCTACTTTCTCAAGAGCTATCCCTTTCTCTTTAAAAAAAAATTTTTATTGTGTTTTTTCCATCGTTTAACCCTCTTATACCCACTTCTCTCCTGCAATCACCCCACTGTCCATGTCTATGAGTTCTTTTTCCTTTTTACTCAATCCCTCCACACTCCCTACAGCTGTCATTCTGCTCTATGAGTCTGTCTCTACTTTGTTAGTTCACTTTGTTCATTAGATTCCACATATGAGTGAAATCATATGTCATTTTTCTTTCTCTGACTGGCTTATTTCACTTAGCACAGTGTTCTCCAGATCCATCCATGCTGTCACAAAATGTAAAATTTCCTTCCTTCCTTCCTCCCTCCCTCTTTCCCCTCTCCATTCCTTTTTTTTTTAACAGTTGAGTAGTATTCCATTCTGTAAATGTCCCATAGTTCTTTTACCTGCTCATCTACTAATGGACACTTGGGCTGCTCCCATATCTTAGCGATTGCAAATTATACTGCAATGAACATAGGGGTGCTTATGTTCTTTCAAAGTAGCATTTTGGGTTCCTTCGGATATACTCCCAGAAGTGGGATGGCTGGGTCAAACGGCACATCCATTTTTAAATTTTTGAGGTATCTCTGTACTGCTTTCCACAGTGGCTGTACTAGTCTACATTCCCACCAACAGTGCAAAAGGGTTCTCTTTCCTCCACATGCTCATTAGCACTTCGTTTGTTGATTTACTGATGATAGCCTTTCTGACTGGAGGGAGGTGATATCTCACTATGGATTTAATTTGCATTTCTCTGATGATTAGTGACATTGAGCATCTTTTCATATGTCTATTGGTCAACTGTATGTTCTCTTTGGACAAGTGTCTATTCAGGTTGTTTGCCCATTTTTTTAGTTGGGTTATTTCTTTTGGTGTGTTTTTAAGTTATTTATGAATTTTGGATATTAACTCCTTATCTAATGTACTGGCAAATAAATTCTCCATTCTGTGGGCTTTTCATTTGGTTGATGGTCTCCTTCGCTGTGCAAACACTTTTTAGTTTGATGTAGTACCATTTGTTTATTTTTCCTTTTGTTTCTTTTGCTTGGGGAGCTACATCTGATAAAATAATTGCTATGAGCAATGTTCAAGATTTTGGGGCCTATTTATTTTATTTTTATGGTTTCAGGTTCAATATTTAAGTCTTTAATCCACTTTGAACTTATTTTTGTGTGTTATAAGGTGGTCTAGTTTCATTTTTGTGGACATACCTGTCCAATTTTCCCAACACCATTTATTGAATAAACTATCTTTAGCCCACTGTACATGTTTGCTTCTTGTCATAGAAAGGTGTGGGTTTACCTGTGGGCTCTGTATTCTGTTCCATTGACCTCTGTGACTTTTTTTATGCTAGTACCATGCTATTTTGATTACTATGGCTTTATAATATAGTTTGTTATTAGGTGGCACGATTCCTCCAACTTTGTTCTTCTTTCTCAAGATCACTGTTGCTATGCAGAGCCTTTTGTGGTTCCATAGGAATTTTTGAAATACTTGTTCTACTTCTGTGAAATACAACACTGGAATCTTGATAGGAATTGTGTTGAATCTATACATTACTTTGGGTAGCACGGACATTTTAATGATGTTAATTCTTCCCACCCATGAACATGACATATGCTTCCAGTTACTTGTATCTTCTTTAGTTTCGTTTCTCAGTGACTTATAATTTTCTGAGTACAGGTCTTTTACATCCTTGGTTAGATATTCCTAGATACTTTATTTTTTTGAAGCAATTATGAATGGAATTATTTTCTTAATTTCCCTTCCTGTTAGTTCACTATTGACATATAAAAAATGCAACTGATTTCTGGATATTAATTTTGCATCCTGGTACTTCACTGACTTCATTTATCAGTTCTAGTAGTTTCTTAGTGGAATATTTGGGGTCCTTTAGGTACAATATCATATTTTCTGCAAGTACAATTTTACTTCTTCCTTTCCAATTTGGATTGCTTTTATTTCTTCTTCTTGTCTGATTGCTTTGGCTAGGACTTCCCATATTATGTTGAATAAGAGGGGTGAAAGCAGACATCCCTGTCTTGTTTCCAATCTTAAGGTGAAAGCTTGTAGTTTCTGTCCATACAGCGTGAGTCTGGCAATGGGTCTGTCATATATGGCCTTTATTATGTTTAGGTATGTTCCCTGTATTATGTTTAGGCATGTTCATTTGTTGCAAGGTATTTTTTTTTACTTCTTCCTTGAGCTCATTGTTCCATTCATTGCTTAATAACATGCTATTTAGTTTCCATGTCTTTGTGTGTTTTTCCGTGTTCTTGTGACTGATTTCTAATTTCATAGCACTGTGGTCAAAGAAGATGCTTGATATGATTTCTTAAGAAGACTTATGATTTAAGTCTTCTTAAATTTATTGAGACTTATTTTGAGTCCTAATATGTGGTCTATCCTAGAAAACATCCCGTGTGCACTTGAAAAGTATGTATATTCTGCTGTTTGGGGATGGAATGCTCTGAGGACATCAATTAAATCCATTTGCTCTAGTGTGTCGTTTAAGGCTTCTGTGTCCTTGTTGATTTTCTGTCTGGATGATATAGCCATTGAAGTAAATGGGGTGTTATTATCCAGACTATGACGGTATTTCTGTTGATCTCTCATTTTATGTCCATCAAGATTTGCTTCACATATTTAGGTGCCCCTATGTTTGGTGCACAAATGTTTACTAGGGTTTTATCCTCTTGTTGGGTTGTTCCTTTTGTCATTATGTAGTGACCTTCTGTGTCTCTTCCTATAGCCTTGGTTTTAAAGTCTATTTTGTCAATATAAGCATTGCATCACTAGCTTTCTTCCCCCTTTCCATTTGCATGAAATATCGTTTTCTATCCTTTTAGTCTGTGTGTATCTTTCAATCTGTGGTGGGTCTCTTGGAGGCAGCATACATATGGGTCTTGTATTCATATCCATTTCAGCTACCCTATGTCTTTTGCTTTAGAATTTAAGCCATTTATATTCAAGGTCGCTATCGATAGCTATGTATTTACTGCCATCTTATTTTTAAAATGTTTTCCTCCTTCTCCTTAAAGAAAGCCCTTTAATAGTTGTTGCTGTACTAGTTTGGTATTAACAAACTCCTTTAGCTTTTTCTTGTCTGGGAAACTCTTTATTTTTTGCCAATTTTAAACGATAGCCTTGCTAGGTAAAGTAGCCTTGGTTATAGGTTTGCTTTCCATCATCATAAATATTTCATGCCAACCCCTTCTGCCCTAAAGTGTTTCTCTTGAGAAATCAGATGATAGTGTTACCAGAGCTCCCTCGTGGGTAACTATCTGCTTTTCTCTTGTGGCTCTTAGGATTCTCTCCTTGTCTTCAAGCTTTGCTGTTTAAATTATGATGTGATTTGCATGGGCCTCTTTGGGTATATTGTGTTTGGTACTCTCTGAGCTTCCTGGACTTGTGTGTCTTTTTCTTTCATTATACTACAAAAGTTTTCAGTCATTATTTCTTCAAGTAAGTTCTTGATCCCTTGCTCACTCACTTCTCCTTCTGGTATTCCTATGATCCACATGTTATTAAGTTTCATGTTGTCCCAAAGGTTTCTGAAGTTCTGGTTATTTCTTTTAATTTCTTTTTATTTTTGTTGCTCTGCTTGGATGTTTTCTTCTACCTTGTCTTCCAAAATGCTGATTCAGTCCTTTGCTTCATCTAACCTGTTTTTTTTTTAATTCCTTTTAATGTATTACTTATTTCAAATATTGCATTCTTTATTTCTAACTAGTCCTTTTTGATTGTTTCTAGGTCTTTTTTCTTGCTGCTGAGTATCCTTATAGTCATTATTCTAAACTCTGTATTTGATAAATTTCTTGCCTCCCTTTCATTTAGGCCTCTTCTGGAGGATTCTCTTGTTCCTTCATTTGGG